TCGGTGTGATGAAAAATTTTGCAGAAATCAGTCGATCGATGTTCGAAACAAAACCAAAACAAGTTGAAGTGACTGCTATTCCGATTCTATGGGAATTACTCAAGTCACCGTCACAAATGCAGTGTGACGCTGAATTGCGACGTGCGATACGAGATTACGCAATGGCGTTACGTGATTGCTTCGGTGAACGAACACTGCTGGATATGTCCAACGGTCACATCAGTCCAAGTCAGAAGAGGTCACTCGAAATGCTCATCCGATAGTTTATCGTTGCAATAAACGTTCTTTGTTAAATGAAATAAATCTTCTAATAAATATGCAATCAGTATCACTCATGTCTGTTCTTTCATCGTTAACACTACATCATCATTCTTAAATTATAATGCCGCGGAAAACGGATGCGCTATGCGATATTCAGTCGAATCTTATTCGCGAAGTTTAAAGTTATCCGGAGCTGAGTGACATAGCAGTTGCTTTCAATTCAACTGCGTTGAATGACTTGGAGGTATACATTCCTGTGAACAAGTCGTGCATATGAATGCAAGCACTAATTGAAAACGGAACTCGTTGAGACTAACCTTTGGCGTTGCAAAATTCTTCAGATTTTTTTGATCTAAACTGATTCGCTTAAATACTTTGAACTTTTCTATCACACTCATTATACTCCAATTTTTTTCGATTCAATAGCGATCAAGTGATACGATATAACGATAAATTTTCAATTGTTATGAATTATTAAGGTTACTCTATTAATCATTTCTTGGAGAGTATTTGTATCTTAGATATTCGCAACATCCGTGATTCTTGAGAGTGTTAGAATTCGAATAGCACGAAAACTCAATCGGTAGTGCTTCTAATTAGCGATTGATATACGGCTTCATTGCCCTAATACTATGATCAAATGTTGACTACGATCATGATACTTTGTGAATGATGCCGACACGATACTGTGTGAGAATATTTAGCATTCTTGGGCAGTAACGGTTTGAAGCCAGCAATATCAAGGCTGCTCACCTTGCTAAACTCAACGAGTTCCATTCCGTAACCTAAATGCAGCATCATCCCTGAAATATTCTCGAGAGTTGGTCTTTGTTTGAAAATTTTATTGACAGTTGTTTTCTGTTGCTTTCGTTTCATGTGAATGCAATTCTTGAATGTCAACGAAATGATTTAATTAGCTGAATTAACATCAACCGTTCAATGAAGTTTGTTCAACGCACATCATCAAGTGGAATGTGGTGACGTATACGCCCAAATTCATGTTAAAAACAAATTAAACAATAAACTTGTTCTTTTTATTTATGTCGTCTAAATTATCAACATCCGTCTTGACATTGCTCATTCAACCATCTCAACTCGTATACCGATGTCGAGGTCATCAAATTTATTAAATTATTCCGTTGTTCTAATGGTACTTTAGAGCACTCTACTTGTCTTCATTTAATTGTTTAAAAGGCATATTAGATTTATTTTTAACACCATTTGCTCGAAATGTACTTCGCTCATCATATAGGAAACCATTTCCGATTATCATTTTTTACATATTCAATAAATTGCACATTGCCTCTAAGCAAATTAAATGACAAATTGTTCTGAAGGCAAATAAGACAGTGAATTATGTAGAGATTGCTCGAAGAGAACNTTCAATTCCTGAAGTTCGTCATGTTTTGTTGTCAGCTGTGTTTTGGAAAGCCGAAATGTTGGTTTCGTTATGGCTCGTACTGTTTGGTGGTTTTCTCGTCGTATTCTACTGGAAGAAAATCACTGATTACATCAAGCAGTATATGCGGATACGAACACTGGTCAATAAACTTTCTGGACCTCCAACAGTACCAATTCTTGGGAATGCTTACAACCTGAAATGGGATCCTGTAGGTTCGTTTCCTCGACGTTCTACTTTTCGACCAAGGAACCAAAATCCTGATTTCGTTCTTATGCAAAACCATACCAAATTTCTTTTGACAACATCTATGAGGTTTATGCATGTGGTTCCGTTCTATGGCTGTGAATCTTTTGTTTACTCATTTCAGAGATCACATATCAAATGGAATATGTTTTCCGCAAATATGCCTTCAATAGTGGCGACGGTATGCTGAGATTTTGGCTCGGACCAGTGCCCATTGTTTTTCTTTGTAGCTCGAAAGCTGTCAAGGTTACAATTCTAGAGAACAGCTTCAACGCTCTCTTTATTGGTCACCACGTTCGAGTGCTTCATTAACCCCTTCGATGGTTTGAAAGTCCATCATACCCCCCCCCCTCCTCCCACATCTCCTTACAATAATTTAATATTTCCACGCATAACATCAGAACTAATTTCCCGACCCCCTCCGTTACCCCTTGACAACCCAAATTTATCCAGATATGGGTAGTTTCCCGTTATGGGGACCCCCGTTTCAGAATGATGTGTACAATACCAGTTTTCACGGCCATGTAAGCGTAGAATTTGCTGTTAGAATCGAATGCTGGCCTCATGAACAGTATTACCGAGCAAAACAGTTCGTGCTCATAATTAATTCAATGTTCGATTGATTGATCGTTCAGGAGTTAAAAATGATCCGTTTGAGGTTCTGCTAGAGAGTCATACTGAGGTTTATAAGCCACCCGAATATTCGTTACTGACACCCATCTGGGGAGACGGCTTGATTACAAGGTAATAATTTTTTATTTCTTCATTTTCCAACCAACCCAACAACTGCAACAACTATTCTGATCGTCCCGAAGAATCTCCCAGAATGCATTTCGTAGATTTTCACCCTCCACTCTGACTGAATATCAGTCTGACCACCGCGAGCAGTGTTTATATGCAGGTGATTGGACTGACATTCAGTGAAAATTCTTCGAATGAAATTTTCGGTGTTCACGAATGCGCGAATGAAACTTCAGTTCTGGGTCGAAATGGCACGAACGACGGAGAATGATTACACCAGCCTTTCATTTTTCGATTCTTCTCAGCTATCTGCACGTTTTCAACCGTCAAGCCGAAGTAATTTGTTTTCGATTTCATGTCCCTATCGACATGTTCCTTGGCGTAGTGGATTGCTCGTTTATTTTGATCACCCTATCAACATCACCCATCAGCTGGCCTCTAAACCTTCACATTTGTCACTGATGCAGCAAGAATGTTTCACACATTAGGTTGAGATACAATTAATCAATCTTAAAGTTTAGAATTCAATCAATTACAAATCAACCGATTAATTTCAAATTGCAACACACCACACGACAAACTGTCCACACAACTGGAACACCATAAAATGTTCCGATTCATACCAGCTGCACAGAAAATAATGAACATTGACCACTATGATTGTAATGAGTACCATAAATCAATGAAAGTATTAGTTAAATATTTGAAAATGCATTCTGAACATTGCTAAATGCACTCCAGATTATGGTGAACCTGTTGGAAAGCAAAGCGAGTCGAGGTGAGACCATCGACTTCCTTCCAGTTTTGCGTCGCTTCTCGATGGACACCATTTCCGGTTGTTATTATTGAATTCCTCTTAAATTTCGCTCTACTGCTTCCGATTAAATCTCGCTCGATCGAAAGGCAATGAGAATTGTTCATTGGAATATTATATAGAGCAATGTACCGGATGTTTGAGGTAATTCCTCGGTCTTCCAGAAACCGCAATGGGAGTTTCGGTGAATGCACAGAAGGGCGAGAACNAAGACTTCTATATGGCCATAACAGATATATTCGCATTGATTTTCAAAAGTTTACGCTATCCGTGGCTTTGGTTGAAGCCAATATGGTATGGTCTCGGTTATGGTTTTAAATTCGATAGGCATGTGAGCACCGTTAGGAAACTAGTCTCAAAGGTTTGTTCACCAATTACCAATCAGTCCGTTTCATTGAATTTTCCCGAATAATATTCCCACGAAAGGTTTTGTGAATGAACGCAAATATTGGTGTTATGTGTAGGTGATTGCCGAACGAGCACTGGAATTCGAAAATCTCGATGAGAAACCAACATTCGAAGAGTTGACGGCTGGCCGCAAGAGGAAACTTACATTTCTAGACATGTTGCTTAGTTTGCGAAAGGAGCATAAATTAAGCAAGGCCGATATTATGGAAGAAGTTGGGACTTTTATGGTTGCAGGTTTCTTTGCGTTCATTAGTTGTTTGTTGAAGAGATCACTCAAATTACCTTTAAAAATACACTTTGTAATGATGTTCGATCGGAAAACTACAGAACATTCGCTAATTGTCTTTATACACTTTCCGATAGTGCTTCGTTCTGTTCGATTATGAAGGAGGGTTATACAATATATAGTGATATGGGAAGGAAATTTCCATTTGTTTTCGCTCTTGAAAATTTGACCTTGAAAAATGTTGTAAATAGAGGTGCGTGTAACAGTAACATATTAAGGTTATGATACCGTTTCGAGTAGCATTGGTTTCGTTTTATTTACACTCGGCCATCGACAACACATTCAAGATAAGGTTTATGTGGAACTCCGACAAATCTTCGGTGGGTTAACGCTTTTCAGCTAGTATTGTCAGGATATGCAACAATAACAGCGATCTAATAGATCCCCAGTGAATCGAATCACTTGAAATCTTTTTCAAATGGAACCAATGCTTCCATATGGAATACAGGCTGACACTAAGCAGCAGTTTATCGTTAAGGTGACTCGGATCGTGCAGTCACTGCAGACGATATCAAGCAAATGAAATACTTGGAGCAGTGTATGAAGGAAACAATTCGCATGTATCCGACAGTGTGTTTGATAGGACGACGACTGACAGAAGATTTGATCATAAGTATGTATTTGTTCTTGAATAAACATTTTCCATATTGAATGATGAACTGGGGCAATGTCATATCTCTAATATAGGATGTCTCTATACCACCTTTTTGAGAGCAGTTCTATTCTGTTCTGTTCCGCTCCAATACGAATCTATTCTGTTCTATTCTATTCTGTGCGTTGGAACAGATTAGGAATAGAATAGTTTCACTGCAATAGAGATACCACTGCTCCAATATATTGGTGGTATTCCAAGAGCATGTTTTTGTTTCCGCTTATGTTCACATCTGACTGATTGTATTTTAATATGGTCATACGATTCCGGCCGGGGTTACCGTGTCAATATCACCATTTTCCGTCGCTCGTGATCCTCAGGTTAGTTTTGTGGCCCAACGCAAGCTTCTTTTTTTTTCGATTCAGATGATTTCATCACTAGTAAACGCAACGTTCTTTTTTAAACGTTTCTTTTTCAGCAATGGAAAAACCCCGAATGTTTTGATCCAGATAGATTTTTGCCCGAGAATTCCCATGGAAGGGACCCGTTCGCGTATTTACCGTTTTCTGCTGGACCGCGAAATTGCATCGGTAAGCTTCTCGCACCCAATTCATTACATCTTATGAAGTAGAGGGGTGCGATATACAGTGCTTCAATCTCTTTTTAGGCCAAAAATTCGCAATAATGGAGGAAAAAGTCGCGTTGGCGCACATTCTTCGTAAATATCGAGTCATTTCCATGATTACCGACGAGGAGAATCGAGGCTTACCCGAAGTATCACTCAGACCCAGTAGAGGCTTTCCGATTCGCTTAGAACGGAGAGTGTAGCCCATTACCTTCTGTCTAATCTTACTATTAAACAAATTTCTTCAGAACCCATTTTTCGCGGTGTTTTGCAGCACACTCATGTTGATCATTCATATTGCCAATTTATAAACTGAAATGTTTTCCGTGCTGAACTTTCACTTTCAATCGTTTGTCCTTTCTCTAAAGAAGTCGCCCATTCGAAAACGTGTTTGAGCTTGAGACGTGAACAGACGAAAGTTCACATGTTGAAAAGGAAGCAATGAACAGTTGCAAAGAAGAGGACACTCAAAATTGTCGTTACAGTTGAGTGGTAATATCAATGTGAAAACCATTAATCAATGAAAGTTTTACAATAAATTAGCAATGTCTTTTTGCTGTGTTTAATCACATACACATTCATTATTTCTCTCATAAGGCATCATAGTCATTGACTGAGGAATGTTCCGGTAAGTAACGAATAACATAGACTTAAACAATGATTACTCTATCACAATTATGCACTCTAATATCCTCCTGGATGCATGTCGGTTTTCCGTCTAAAATCTCCGTTCGCATAAATACTACCGTCGTCATTGACCAGAATTGCTTGCATTATACCTTCGAAACCAGTTGTTGGCTTGAAAGTTTGGCCAAATATCGTTTTCAAGTCCTCCACCAACTCCTGAATATGCTTTGATCACTGAATGGGTCGAATCATCACCGTTTATTACTGGCATTATAAATGCAACTTCAACTTGAAATGTGATGCGTACTTCCAAAAATAGAACTGCTTTTCCCTTAGAAATATTTTTTCGGCCTCTTTCGGCTGTACCCAAGTAACGAGATATTCTGTAATGCTAATGATAACGATAGCGAATGGACGGTTGATGGCAAGATGTACCTCAGGAACATCGCCTTCAAGTTGTGTGACATCAGGCGTGAATTGGTTGTGTAATGTAGGTGCGTCAATTGCTTCTTTGATGGTTTCGTTGAAGAACAGCGTTCGTACGATCGGCTTGGCCATCGCAGAAATTATTTTCGAACCACCCGATGCACCAACAACCATTTTCAACTGAACGCATTTGCATCAAAATGATTGATATATGTCCAAAGACGTTTGGCACAAACATAATGCCCGTCAGTGAAAACTGAGTGGGCAACAGTTGCTGAACGCCATTTGTCGCGACGGAACGCGAAAGAGACGATTCGTGAGGGACACCAAAGTGATATGTGAAATAAACCTTTGAATCTGTACTTTAGCTGTATATGTATAACATGCACACGGACATAATGCACTATTGATTCGGATGATGAAATGTAACTTTCGTACATCTTACTTGGAGGATCTCCTCCCTTTTGTGTTTGTATGATATGAATACTTTGTGTTTCAATAATATAAAAGAGTGTTATTACAAAATAAACGCCGAAACCATTTGATAGCTATTGTTCATGCATTCAGGGGCTGGCGAACTTGACGAAGTCACGAAGATTTAGAAGGAAAAACTAACATCTCCAGTTTTTTTATCGTAGATAAGCATCGGACTCATGCTGCTCATTGGTTTCTTGCCGGGCACGATGAAGTTTGTCTCTGAAGGCGCAAAACCGAATCCATTCGCCATACCTAAGGATGAATATCACTGATCAAGAATTCATAGTGAATTTGCAATATACTTGCTTTATTCATGGCACATTTTGATCGGTTGCGATTTGCTCTGCTCAGTCATTATTACCTGGTGATGAGAAGTCGTCCATTTCGTCATTCCAAACGATTCCAAGTTTATCCGATTGAACCACAGCACCGAACCTAAATCAAGTGTCTATTTGCAGCTGATGCACTTCGATTCTTCCTGGTGAAAACAGTCAGTACTTTGGATGGTCTCATTTCACTTCTCATGAATTGCGCACCGATAAAATTTTCATTCGAAGAGGACAGACACCGTTGTGTGAATTTAGTTGATGTCAACGGTTTGAGTGAACGGTTTCGCGAAATCAAATGAATGTTTTTACCATCGATTCACAGTGCTTGTTGCCGAAACTCCATTTCCTTCGGCGTCCAGTGCGCATACATGCGAAGTCCCATGATCACTTTTCTACAACCAAGCAGATTGTTACATCTTGGAAATCTCACATTATTCACAACTGAATCAGTCACTAATTGTTGTGCTCTTGCCTATATCTCACAGTAAACATTCACGTTTAAGCGTTACGCTTTGCTTCGTATTGTTTCTCAATTCCTTCATATTTTTCAATGCCATTCATTTTCCATCAGCAGAAATTTGCTGATTGTGAGAATTTTGA